GTGTTATCTGGGATATGATTGGCTGGTTCTAAAAGTATTAACCAATCATACTGAGCGCTCACTCAACAGTTGCGTCTGCTGAACGCGGCCATTGTCAAATTCGACATCGTTTTGACATCGACCGACAAGTAGTATCTCGCTGGGTAAGAATTGCTACCACTCCGAGAAATCAGTAGGAACGAAAGCAGATTGAGGTCAAGGTCCGCGGGGAATTTGAAGAAAAAAGCCGTACTAATTATCTTAATCGACAGTTTTAATAAAATGATCCTTATCGTTACATAACATTACGTGTCGGACACAATAATACAATAATATATTATTAATTATAGCAATAATCTGACGATGTAACAATTAATGATTGCAACTATGATCAACGGTGTCATCATAATGTACGGTAACAATCGAACGGGATAGTATACATATTCAAGCATCGGTTCGCAATAAATAGTGATATCGTTATTTAAAAGAGAGACTCCACATTATTCAAATTCTGACGGTTTTTCATTCCATCACCACGGGAGAAGCATATATTGGCGAGAGGCAGTCGCTGTGCTTCTGACCCTATCGGCATGCTACATCATATTATACCCTAAAGCTGTTTATTTCGTAAAAATGAAGCCTTCTCCAGGTTCTTTCAATAAGTAAAAAAATTCAGATCTCTTTTTACAGAAAGTGTGATCTTTTTTGCTCTGTGGGAAGAGCTGATTTAAAACGATGTCTGGATTACATAGCGGGTTAGTTCACCTTGACCCTATCTTGAAATATGTTATTGCGTATGTTACGTCACATTTAAGATAACTCGCAATTTACATTGCAGATCAAAGGCAGATTGCACTGTATATAACATCATTGGTTATATGTATAACTTCCATAATGCGAAAAAATCGGTCTATAACTAAGATAAAGTCGTTCGGTTTGCGACGCAGTATAGTAACATATGTAGTTATTGAAAATCAGGGTTGGGTAAGTTACTTTTTTTTTTTAACTAAGTTAAGTTAAAGTTAACAGTCTTGAAAATTTAACTTAGTTAAGATACAAGTTAACCCATAATGAAATTAATTGAATTAAAAGTTAAGTTAATAATAAAAAAAGTTAAAAAGTTAAAAGTTAAATTTGTTTTATTTCATGATTTCAGGGTTTTACGGTCTTATAAATAACTGAAATAGAAAACATCACGTTATTGCACATCTTATTTGGAAACAAACTACATTTTGTTTACAAATACTTATTAAATTTTAGTAATAAAGCCATTTCGAAGTTTTTGTCAGATGCTTTTGCCAATGTAGACAGGCGTGCGTACGGTGTCTCGCGACCAGGCATAGACTTATACAGATATATAAGTCTATGCTCGCGACGCCTTTGTTTATGGCATGACAAACTTTAAGGGTGGCTTCACATGAAGCGTAACTTGCGTAGCGTAACCTGCGTATCGCCAATCACAGGACTATTTCAACGGAATTATTGAAACGGTTCTATCAGAATGACCCTGTGATTGGTGATACGCAGGTTATGCTACGCAACTTACGCTCCATGTGAAGGCACCCTCAGAAAGGTAAATTAAAAGTTAAAAGTTACCAATAAAATGTAACTAAATTAAGTTAAAAGTTAACGGCCTATAAATGTAGCTAAGTGAAGTTAAAATTATTTAACTTTTTAACTTTTTAACTTAACTTTTAACTTTTTAACTAGACACTACCCAACTCTGTTGAAAATATAAGACGAATCTAATGGCGCCAGATTCTCGCGATGTCGAGATCAAGAAACAATATACCGACAATCCAAATGCTCAATCTGAAGTATCCCAGAGTTATTCCACGAAACTGAAGAGCTGCAAAAGTGTTCAAGACGAACAGATATATGACGATGACGAGAAAAATATCAAAATTCGTCAAATTGTTAAGTATCTAAATGATATGTCGTACACACAGTCATTCTTTCAAGACTTTTCAAGATTATCCTTCACAAAGACGAAACCCAGAAAAGTCGTGGAACGTGAAATCAATGAAAGTGGGAACGAAAGAAGGGATCATAATAAATCCATTAGTGATGGGAAGATGTTTCGACTACTAAAGGAAGGCATCCCAAAAATTTTCGAAAATGTCTACAAATACAATAAGTCCCAAAAAGAAAAGCCAGATATTTTATAGATTAAAAAAAATAAAAATAAAAAATAATAAATGTCCAAAGGTTCCAATTTCTCTTTTTTTCCTGAGGCGCTCGCCATGCAAAATTCTTGGTTTCAACCAACTGAACTCGTGATCATGTAATACACGATGTTCACTATCCACAGAGTGACAGCTTTCGTCTTTTTTTATGTCATTTCTGTTCTTTAAATCTGATCAGAAGGTGTCGTTTCTTACAAATATTTACTGTAATATTAAAAACTATAAATATCTGTAAAATCTACTTAAAAATACGTAATTTTGTTTATAAAAGTTACGTCTTTGAGACTCAATACGTAATACTTGAATTTTTTATTATACCCTTCAAAGTTTTCTAAAATAATTATATGTAATCTATAAACGGAATAAAAACTAATAAAAACAGGACCAATAAAAAATTTGATTACCGTGATGACAGACTTACAGATGATTTCAATATGACGCGTTACAAATTTTGTTCTCGAAATTGTGTTGAAATTGCTTTATGCTTATGATACCTTCTAACAA